CCCACAATTCTTTTAACTGGTCACAAATCAGGTACCTGCAAACACCTCAGGCAGGTGAGCGAGTGAAGAGAAATTCTTTCTTTCAAAAGCAGCAAGGTTACAATTTTTTGGAAAACTGAAAACATTCACCTAATAACTCAAAATAACTGCTTATAAATGTTTCAGCCTGCTGCCATCTATCTCCTTACTCCAGTTCTTAATGGGATCCCCTGTAAAACAAAGAGCAGCACTGGCCTGAGCTGGGGGAGCTCCGAGCTCCCCATCTGCATTCCCAGAGTGGAGCTGATGAATCTGCACCAAGCTTTTCAACAGCAGAGCTTTCATCTGCTCCCAGGATTCCATTAGAAATCTTTATGTGAATGCAGCAGATATTAGTGGGTTGTCAATAAAAGCTGAATGTCATTAAAGTGCTTTTATTCTTTAAATGCCTTTAACCCTCTAATTATATTTGGAAATCCCGCTATTGAACTGTATGAAAGTTATAAATCCTGACGTGTTGTATCACAACAAATACATTTAGACTAATACACAAACAGTTTTGGGGGCAGGGGAGAATCAATTTTAGAATTATTCCCTCTTGATTAAACACATAAATCTCAACTGGTGTGTTTCAAGCACGAGCAACACTCAGCCAGGGTTTCTGCAGATATTCCAAGTTTGGGGGGTAAAAACCTCTGGCCCGTGGTGTGGCTGCAAATCATAACATACAGCTTTCAAAAAACTAAAATTAGCTCTTTTTATTATATCAGAATTATTTTTCCAAGTTCTCTTGGACTTGGCAGGGAGAAGGGAACAGTCCTTGAGCATCTCAGCTCTCACCTCCCAGCCCAGGAAGGGACTTTGCTCTGCTGGTTTCCTCCCCACTCAAGGTGGGAGTCGGGCAACAGGGGCACAAACAGTCCCTGTCCTGCCAACTGCACAATTTCCTGGGGCTCCAGACTCCTCCTGCCTCTGCCCACCAGTGAAGAAGGCAACTGCTACCAACTGGGACTTCTGCCCATAAAATCCAACTGGGAACTGCCAGCCAACAACTTCCAGTTGCCATCCAGGTTGGCAAAGGTAAAACGTGACCGAGGAACAGGAACGTTCCCAACTTCCACAATAATAAAAAAAAAACCAATCTAAGGATTGCTTTTAACACCAGAATCAGGTAACTTATGTCAGGGACAGCACAACCAGGAACAAAACCCACTGAGAATGTCAGAATGTGATACAGGAGAGCAGGAAAACACTTCACCCCCAGATCCCTTTGCTGACTTTGCATCCAGCTGATTTCTTTCCTTTGGAATAATCCTCAGCCCAGAGAAATATCAATTCAACTGCACAGTTCCTCTACCATGTTTACCTTCCCATTGCATCTGCCACTTTATTCAACTTCCCCCACTGTAACAGAAATCACCCACTTGAAAAAGTTTTTGGATAACTCTCTGCATTTGGGACCTTTTCCCCTCCTCACACCAGTTGTGAGTGAAGCCCTCGTGCCCAGAGCTGCTCAGGGAAGGGGTTGGGAAAAAACAGCCTTGAGAGAATCTCATTTGAGAACCAGCAAACAGAAGGAAATACAGACACGTCTCATTTGTCATCAAACAAACACACACCAAAAAAAATCCCAGTAAAAATTGAGGCCACCTTAAGTTTAAAGCAAAGCAGAATAATTGCTCAGCCACTTCAGGGAGATTTTTTATGCTACTGCAAGAGGATGCTGAGAAGTAAATGACAGCTTTATTTGGGATTCACAACCGTAACAGCAACTTCTCCAATGGTCTTATATGAATAATTCTGTATATAAAGCTGTAAGACATTCCATAAATTCATGCAGTGATCCTATCTCACTTCTCAGGGTTGCCAGTTAATAAGAGAACAAAGAAATGCTATCAAAAAGCACAAGTTAGGAATAATGACACCAAGCCAAGTGAGCAAACACTCAAGAAATACAAGAATGAAGGTTTAGCATGTTCAGGAGAGGAGGGAGTTAAGCAGCTCAGACACAAAGCAGTCACCTGCAGGCCTGAGGTCTCAAATAATTTCTTGCTTATACACCTGTGGAGGCAATAACTACAGAGTTCTTCTGCAGAAGAACGTGTTAAAAGTAACCAAAAAGTGTAAAACAGCAAAAAGACACACATTGACCATCCCTGTGACATCACATTTGCCTTCAACTACTTCTTAAGAAGAGCTTTTCCTATATTCTGTTAAATATATGAGGATATGGTTTGCAAGTTAAACTCAATTTTTAAATATCCCAGTGCATGAGGGCACCAAAAAGGCATAAAATCGAAGCCAGCTGAGTGACTGCCCAAAAGGAAGGCTCCTAATTAATACAGAAATAATTGCAACAGGTAAGAATGGTCCATGAAAAAAAATCCCTGTATTGTCAACACTTTCAGGTGTCAAAATTCAGCACCTTCCTGTCACTCTAACCCAGAAGACAACCGCCTACAAAACCAATTAATGCTTTCAGGTACAGCAGCACATGTTCCAGCTGCAGTATTTTCCTGTCAAGCTAAAATCCATGACAGAAAAAAAAGACTTAAAGCCTTAAGAGTCGAGAAACAAAACCAGGAAAGCTTCCCCCCAGAGCAACCTGACTGGAGCTGGAAAGAGGGATGGTCTGAAATGAAACCAGAGCATTTGATTTCCCAGGAACGAGTCTGTTGAGATCTCTCAAGCTGAACCATCCTATATTTGAAAATAGTGAACCACTCATCCTATATTTGAAAATAGAGAACCACTCATCTTATATTTGAAAATAGTGAACATCAGGATTGAGAAGCTCCCAAGAGGCTGAAAAAAACCCCCAGTTTTCTATTTACTGTAAACAAAGGAACCTTTTCTCCCCATAACTGAAGCAAACAGGTAAAAGTTCACAGCAATTTTGCAGAGCTAATTGAGTCTGAAGCCTCTGAACCAAGCGTAGCACAGGTCACATGTGCCCTGATCTCAACAGTTTAATTATATTTTCCCAGAGAAATTAACAACTTACTCATAACTTTTATCAACAGAACATTAATACGCAGACATTAAACACAATGACCATCTGTCTTTGAAAACCAAAACTACCCCAATGATCAGAACATGCTGCTCAACCAGTCCTGCTGGAAAGCAAAGGCTCTGAAATGGTCTCATGAATAGGGATTTCCATCTTTAAATGAGGTTATTTTTCTAGTTTTGGCTGTCAGATGCACCAGCTGGTATTCATCTGATAAATTGAGTAAGCTTGGATGGTATTCTAAAATCAAATCACATCACAGTTTAAATTCTTTGCACATACATATATGTTGGAAACAAAATACATACTGACAAAAATAGTCTTTATTCCAGTTCTAACTCACA